GGAAGAAGATGAGGGAGATGAAGATGATGATCACGAAGGAGACGAAGAAGATTTTGAGGGACAAGAGGAGGAGGCAGGGGAGGGGGAGGAAGGGGAGGAGGACGGGAGCGGTGGCGCTGAAGTGATGTCAGAGAGCGAGGGAGGAGACGACTAGGGAGCCGGAACTCACGAGAAAGAAAAGAGACCAGAACGCAGCACCGAACAAAGCGGCGCATGGTGGGAAGCAAAGGGATGAGGTTAGTGCCTGGGAGGAAGGTAAGAGTGAGACGGGGCGAGGCGATGGGAAGAAGCGGGTCCTGATGAGGGAAAGGGAGGGAGGAGGAAACGCAGGCAGGGGGTGTACGAAATGAGCACCAAGGTGATAGAGGGCGAGAGGCTGGCGTGTCAAGATCGACAACGGGGAGCCGGCGGGAGGGCTTTGGGGAAGAAGAGAGCTGAAGCAAAGGCTTGAGAGGGGAGGAGATGCGGCAGAACTATCAGAAAGGGAGAGGAAGCATGAAAGGTACTGCTCATGGAGGCAATCTTAAGAAAGAAAGAAGTTAGGACCGAAAAATCGTGCAGGGGAGAGAAGTAGAGAAATGTGACGTGACTCGCAAAAAGAAGCGCCGGCGCTACGCTGAATGGAGAAAGTGTGTGTCGCCTCAGGAAGACAAGAAGTCCCTTTTCGTCCCCCTCCGTTCTCCTTCTCCCCAAGAGTATGACACTTGCCAAGGATTCCTCGCTCTCATGGCTTCGGCGCGCGAGGAAAACAAAAGCATACACTTTGAAGTAAAGAGCCCTTCTCCAAAATACCGTCTCCACGCTCCATCCCCTCGCGATGGCAACGTCCTCCTTCTTTCCAATATGGACATGCTTACCATACCCTCTCGCCCCTCCCTCCAACGTTTTCCCCTCGTCTTCTCCGCCCCATACGACTTTCCATCCCCCCTCCAAGTCCTTCTACCAAGATCCTTTTTATTCGCAAGCTCCCGCTTCCCAAAGCGACGCACTCCTTTCCTCCTTCTCCCACTTTTCCCTCTCTCCCCTCTTTTCCCCCTTCCTCGTGACGCAGGAGACGCCCAGGGAGGGACAGAGGGATGATAGGCAAGTCCTCAGTTTGTCTTGCTTTTTGACGCCTTTTCTCCTCCTTCCCCTCTCCCATACATACATGCAACATCAAGATTCAAAACGATGACCCCTTCTCCGGGGTCATCGCGTTCCCGACACATTCCTTGCCAGCACTTCCATCAGTCGCTTCTTTGGAATGACTGCCATTTCCCTCCTCTTCCTCGCAAGAATTC